GATATAATTCGAATTATTGCGGTCTATTTTAAATAAAATCGATTTAGTTCGATTATTCTTTTTATAATTAAAATAAAAGTTACGTTATTTCTGATGCTAATTATATTAAATTATTTCGCAATGTTGCGGTTTATTTCAATTTATTTCGAAATAATTTACGTAATATTACTAATAAATTACGTATATATTTTGTAATATTCCGTAATTGAATATTGCATAAGATTTCGCGTCGATTCGAAATTTTTTCACATGTTTTCAGTCCATAATAACTTACGTAAGATTACGTTTATATATTTTGCTGATGTTAAAATGGGTTTAATAATATTTTAAAAGTTTGGTTAAATTATTATTGGTAGGCAGGTTATTAAAAAACATACAAAATTGGAATTTGAAGAGGAAATTTTGATTTGCAAATTGCATGTCTCGCTGTATTTGCACCACTTTTTCCGGTTACTGGCAAATTTAGATATACAGAATCAGTCGCTATTTTTTTAGAAAAATTACATAAAAACACACAACTTCAAAAATGACTATATCAATTACTATCTATTAATATTATACATGAAGGGCATTATCTAGCATACGACGAAGCTTTAGAGACATATGATGTTAAATCTGTTAAAGAGGTGATGACAAAAAAATCTGGAAATGAGAAAAACTTACACCGACAAATACAAGGAAGCCAAGATGAAATTAAACAACTATCAGTTCTTAATGAATTTGTTGACCAAGTAATAGATATTGATGATTGTGTTGTACCAAATCGACTTGAACAAACATGGGCTTTAAGTGAACAGATATATAACGCATTTCAAAATCCAGATCCCAACAGTCATTCTCTTTTTGATTACATAACTAAAAATACTACGAAAGGATTCTTCAATATGGAAACTTGTTATTACATGGAATAGAACGTATGCAAAACCTTCTTGTGGAAGAAGTTTACTTGACTAAAAAAAAAAAATCAAAGGGATGAGGAATTAAAAACTTGGTTAAGGATTCCATAGCGGCTTTAAAGCAACGAAAGAAGAAACGAAAAAATACTCAAAATGAGAATGATACTCAAAGTGAAGATAATGCTCAAAATGATAACAATACTCAAGATGAAGATGAATAAATAGTGTAATAAATCTTTTTTGTTTCACAGCCCAGATTTCGTCTAAAAAAAAAGATATATACTTTATTATATACTATATTTATCTAAAATACAAAATCTTCTA